GCGTAGAAATTGAGTGTCTGTTGCTATGCTCCAAACAATAAATGCTGTTGCTATGCATTTTAATATACAGCATTGAACTATAATTAATATTCAAATTTGCTATTGCTATTCTATATAGAATTTTATTGTAATATTAATTTTTTTTGTTTTCATTTTAATGCTTAATATTATATTACTAATATCTATAAATTAAATTCATCATTCATTTCAAACATTTGATTTATCAAGTCTTCCGTATTATAATCCATATTTCCGAGGCAATCATGGTTTTCTACAATACTACTATTTGTTGACACATTAACTTGCCATTAACCATCAGAACAAAATAATATATTATTAATGTCAATTGTTTCTGAAATTATAAGCATATTATTTGATTCATTCATTTGATTTTCTAATGTTTCTGAAGATAAAGTTTTTTAATTAAATTGAAGTAATGATTCGTCAATACTTGGAATTATAGCACCATTTACTAAATCTCTTAGATAAATCATTTTTATGATAAGCCAATTCTTTTCTAATATTTATTAAATAATAAAACCGAATTTTTGCCATTGATTCAATATGGTAAACATCAAGTTTATGATGGTGATTTCTATAAAATCATCCCAAAATTGAAAAGTTCTTTTCACATCCTGCTTGAGATGGTATAATTGAAAATATCCTAGTTGCAAGATCAATTAAGGGATGATCATCTTCATTGAATGTAAGTCACCAACTAAGAGGAGTTTCACTATTATTTTTGTATTTCATATTAAAAGGATCTTCATTTCACCAACAAATTTGAACATGAAAATTTATTACACCCTAGAACTTTCCAGTAATTAGCTGCGATTTCACAAATTTTTCTAAATATCTTTTTTTTAAATCCTAATTCATGATAGCTAAGATGTAAAAAATATCTAAGCAAATAAATATCATGATCAAATTTTTTATATTGATAATTAAATATTTAAATTAAATCTATTTTTAATTTATTTTCATTGAGTATTTGATTAATTGCTGCTGCTAATTTAATAAATCCAATAAAGCAATCTGACATTGTTGCAGTTTTTGATTCCACAGTATTAATTGTTTCTTTAATTGGTCTGAAGATTTCTGATACTATTTTGCAAATTTGAAAAAAATCATTATTACCAATACAATTAAATACATTTTGATTAGTTAATATATGTTGATGCTCACATTTAATTTATATAATATAAAAACATTATAATAAATAAATAAATATATAAATATAATAATCTAAAATTAAGAATATTAATATAAATATAATATTAATAATTACCCAATCAAATATTGGGCATGCTCATAATATTGAGTCAGCCATATTTCAAAGAGAACACCAATGAGTTTTAATATATAATTTTAACTCACCACCTTTAATTTGCATTTTTGTTAATCCTTCTTTTAATAATGCATTTGCACGATGATTTATATTGAAAAATCTTATTATTTCATTGCTTTGAAAAATAAATTTATCTACATAAGAAATTTTCACTAAATCTGCAGCAATTAGATTAAGTGAATGTGCTGCACAGCAAATATTTAAAATACATGGATATTTTTTATGAATAATTTGTTGTGCAACTCTAATATTACTACTACCATCTGTTACTATTCCAACAAATTTATTTATTCCTATAGTTTCAATAAGATTTTCAATCTCATTCACTAAAAATATTTCAGTTTGTAAAATTTTTGAATAATCTTTGAGTGCAACAAGATATTCACAATGATCTGTAGTTGAGATTATAAAATTATAACATGAATCTCCATTTGACAAAGACCGCCCATCAAGTGCAAGTGTCAAATGTTTGCATTGTTCTAATTCAGAATTAATTTTAAGATTAATTCTTGCAGTTTCTTGTTCTAATAATCTTCCAGAGAGTGTTAATCAACCTGGTGGATTATATGCTGAATTAAGTTATTTGAATAAACTAATTATAAATGGGTTATTAATAATTTCAAATAGGATGCCTGCTGTAATCCATGCTTTCAAAACATCTGTCAATTTCATTTTGTTCATGTACTGGTAAAACCTCATCTAACTTACTAATTATATTAGATTGGTCTAATTTATTTAAATTAGAATGTTTTGTTCTTTTGTAATTAACAATTTATTTGAAAGTGATTCTTGCCAATATTCTTTAATTTCGCTAGGAACTCCAGAACATATATTAGCAAAATGAGCTTCTATTTTACTGGAACAACCACAGCTCCAAGACTTTGGGCAATAATAACAAAATGCACTACGAGAGCCAATACTATTACCAGTAATATAATACTTCCAAATTTGTTCTCGTGGTTGACCAACATTTTTACATTTACGATTAATTACTTGATCTTGTTGATCAGTATTTGATGTTTCTTCTTCAGATAATGTATCGGCTTGTGATAATACACTTGAAAATAACCTTGATGATGATTCTTCAGTCATATTAATAAAATAAGTTTGATATATCGAATTTAAAGATTTATTAATGAAATAATTTTGATATATCGAATTTAAAGATTTATTAATGAAATAATTTTGATATATTCGAATTCAAAGATTTATTATTGTTGATTAAATTTTTTATATTAATTACGTCAATTTTGATTTATATCATGGGCACTATCACCATGTGCAATGCTGTATGTACGTACGTACGTATGTATATTTTAGAATTTTAAATACGTACTGAATTTAGTTATGGCATATTGCAATTTTCGTAATTAAAATATTTTTGCGCAAAAACTATTTTGTAACTGAAAAACGAGATTACGAATTAATGTTTAATTTGGAGTCTTCTTACAGCTTATTAACTTATTTTATAATTCCTGTGAACGTTATTCGAAATTTTTTTTTCAGAGAAAAAAAAAAAATTCTTAGAGAATATGGGACAATTAAATTAATGTTTATACATAATTTTTTTTATATATTATGTAGTATCACATATTCTCGTTTGTTATATAGCTTAATAAAATAATTAAGACTATTGTAGTCTCTATATGTAGTTATGTCAATTACATGCAAATTGAGAGTTTAGCTGATTATAGAATTGAAAAGCATAGAATTATTATCCTTAAAATTGACATATTGACATAGAACAATATTTAAATTATTTTTATCACATAGATCTTTAAATATTGAAAATCACAGAGCTTAATGCTTAAATCTAGCAATTCTAGGATTATAACATTACAAAAATAAGATTCTTGGAAAAGATAATAGGAAAAGTTCTGCTTTATACGTACATACCAAACCCAACGAGTTATGACATTTATACATAACGCGCTCCTGCATCTAATAATAATAAAATATTCGTCTTAAGTACTTTCCCTTGACTCAAAACATATTCCCCATTCCAATCAGAATATACGTTGAATTCGAATCCGTTTAATGAATTTCGAATCAATCCATAATCAAGTTGATTTCGAATCTTAAAATGAAATAAACTTTCAATAATCATAATTTTACAAAGGTTTCTTGACTCAATGTGTCATACAAAAAAGAATATTATTTTATAAAAGCAAAATTTTTATAATCTGCTGCATTTACGCGAAACAACGCCCATGAGAAAGAGAGCTAACAATTAATTTCATCAAAATTCTTTTAACAATAAAATTATTGAACGCATTCATTAACTCTTTAAATTGCGTGTCTCAAAATGACGCCATGGCGCAAATACAGTTAAATATTGTTAGATGAGATAATTCGACTATGGCGCAACTCCACAATATATTTACAATGTAAATGGAATACGTACGTACGTACGTACTTAACTGACCTTCAAATGTGAATGAAATTATGTCACTAGGATCAACTATGCAAACGGCTTGTATATTCAGTATAATAAAAACCGCAATAGAGCCGATTAGCCGATTTTTGCATCTCTACTACATATAAAGTTTGCCAAAACGAACGTTGGTTTTTGAAATTTCCTAATCGAAATCTGATTTGTAGTTTAGGGATCTGCGCTACAATGATCGACAAAACCTGGCAGTGTTATTAAAATTAGAAAAACATTTTCTACACCTTTACTTAAATGTAGGATTATTAATGGAGTACTACAAACTATAATAAAACATATAAACCACTCCAGTTTTAAACGGGTACGTATCATTTTATAGAAAATTATTTTACAAACATTTCATTTCATATATATATGAATTGCTAACAAAAAAAAATAAAATTGCACAACGTTTAAGTTCTTTATACTAATAAAAAAAAAAGAATAGACAATTAATTTATAGACAAGTTTATTTGAAGAGTTTATTTTACAGACAGTTCATTTCATAGACAATTAATTCATAGAAAAGTTTATTTTGAAAAGTTATTTAGACTGTTCATTTTATAGACAGTCTTTAACAGTAAATAACTCCTGATCAATTGGTCCTTTTTGGATAATTTACTTACCAATTATTTTGTAATCAAATTATCCCAAAATAAATTAGCAGATTAGAAGTTATTTACTGTTAAAGATTGTTTATAAACTATATATCTGTAAATTAATAATCTTATCTATAAATTAATTGTCTATGAAATAAAATGTGAAGATTTTTTATAAGTTGATACGTACCGGAGTGGTTATCTGTTTTATTATAGTTTGGAGTACTTCATTAATAACCTTACTTAAAAATTTTGATCCTTTATATCTAACCAAACTTACCCTAAAACTGCACCCTAACCCTAAAAATAGGAGGCGGTGAACATCGGTTATTTGTAGTAAAAATCTTATATAAAGAATAATCTACCTTTAAAATACTATTTTTTATATTTAAAATTTTATTTAAACTATCTTTAATATTCCAATACTTTAAACAGATTTTTGATTATTTTGTCAAATCCTAATTATATAAAATTTTATTTTTATAAAAATGTATAATAATTTGAATATTTCACAAATTTTGTAATTACATACAAAATAAAAAAACATGTAATGCTATCAAAATATTTTCTTATTATAATAAATTATTTGTTCATAAGGATGATATTTAATTATCATCCAGACGAATCATTGTTGCTCAAATTCAATTTTAAGATGTAGTTTCCCGTTTCCCCCATTTAATAAATCTACCCAGCAGTCTTTGGTGTAATTACCAGGCTCAATATGTTCCCATAACTTTAAGTAATATTCGCCAATGGTAACATCCTTACCAATCGTATTGTAATCTCTAACTTGAAGCAGAATCGGTGGGGGAGAACTAGTAAGATTTGGTATATACACCTGTTCGTCCCTGTTAGCAAGTAACGAATATTTAATTGATTGTCTTAATCAATAACCACACAAACTTACCTTAATACCGTAAAAACCGTATACAAATCCCGGTCAGGTACATTCCACCCACTTAAAACCCATAATAACCTGTAGGTCTGTTATATGAAATTGGATTTTTATGCGAGAAATCTGGTATTAGGCAATATAATAAATACTTGGTTGGTGTAATGTTGCATATACCAGGATTTCTCTCATTCTGTAAATGCTTTGAAATGTACTGGACCGGTTTAATTCATGGCGGATCTACCTTAGTATGGATTTTGTATACAATTTTTACGGAATTAAATTTTTTCGACAAACCTACCATCGTGGTGTCAATGTTTTCTTAATGACTGCTGTTTTATGTAGATCGTTTTTACTAATACGAACTCTCACATATGGATCGCTCGTGCCTAAATTTAAGTTAGTGTCAATATTCCAGTAAAAAATGTTTCAATTTAAGCATTATAAATTTTTTAAGTTTTTTTTTTTTTTTTTTTTACCTCCTCTATCATTTGCAATTAAGTCTTTAGCCTCAATGAGATGCAAAGTTAAATTTCCAGGTACACCAGCAGCTTTATCAATTGTAAAAGAAAAAAAAAATTAAAATAAATGGTACATAACAGTAATATATCATAAGGATAACAACAATTTTAATTTCTAACAAATGTTATATAAGACTTTATACAAAATTTAAAATGCGTTGTATAAAAAATATTGTATGTAATTTTAATTAACGGAGACTTACCAGAAGAATTTTCTATGCTAAATTTTTCACTAACACCTATAAAATAAATCATTTAGTTGTGATTTGGCACGCGTTTAATCTGTATAGGAAATAATCATTAAGTTATTGTCGCGACTGAAGTTGGCATCTGCCTGAAGTTGGAACTTCAGGTACCTGAAGTTGGCGCCTGCCTAAAACAGTGCAGGGGCTAATTTCAGTCAGGTGCAACTTCGGGCACCTGAAGTTCCAACTTTAGTCGGATGCCAACTTTAGTCACGATATTATCAATATGATGCCGTTTATAAAATGTAGAATACCATTTTCTTCATTAATGGGTGACTCTACTACAAGCCCAGTATCGATTGATCTAGTTAGTGAATCACCATTCTTAAGCTTGTCGTCTTTATCTTTTTTTTTTAAAAGTCCAAATCCAGAACCGACGGCACCAGCGACACTGTTAGCTCCGGTGCTTACAAAGCCCGCACCTGTTCTAATAAAAGTATCCCCACCAGAAACTACAGTGCCTCCAATGCCAGTGCCTATATTAGTGAGTGTCCTTGTTGCACCAGCTAAAGATCCTGTAGTCAACTTCTTCTTTGTGATTAATTGTGGATTGAAAAGCACTGAGAGATTCATAAAGCCAGCAGGCTCTGAAGTTTTTGGATCATACAATTGCACCCTTCTATCGACTTTTTCAAAGGTTGGCAAGTCAGAAAGATCGAGTGTACCGGTGCCAAGTTTAGTACTAATTTCGATTTTATTCCAATCCCATATTTCAATATGAAATTTGTCACTAGTGCGCGAGAGCTACAAGCATTTATTGTACTTATTATTAAATAAAGCCTAGAGAAGTGTTCAAAAAAAAGATTGATACACACCACATTTACTGTGAAATCCTCATTTTCAAAAACAGGGTTTAAAGTCTTTTTAACGTGCTTTGTTTTATAAATCTTCTCCTCATTTAGATAAATATAGGCAAAAGGATCACTTGTGCCTTTGGTCGATGAAAGAACATTAATTAATTGATTAAAAAAGCTCATTATAGTTAATTAAAGTCTTCCTATTTACCAGAACGATCAGCAGCTGGTAAATTCTCTGCACTTTTTACAGTCACTCTTAGCGTGCCCATGTCTATTTAAAAAAAAAAAAAAAAAAATTGGAGCAGTGCACGTCAAGTATCCATAAATTAAGCTATATAAACCTACTTACTATTTATGCTCTCCGAAGGGTCTATTTTATAGTTCATTGGTAAATACCGCACACCGATATTAAGTTGTTTGTTAGTTAGACCTTCAATGGCGAGAGAAATATTTTCAGGGTCACTTTGTTCCAATAAAGGCCTCACATCTCTTGTACAGATACCAATAGGAGTTCTGCCTTCAGAATGTTTGATGTGGAATGTCAGTTTTGCAAAATCCAATTCTTTTATAAAGACGTCGGTGACTTTATATAAATGCATATTTTAGTATACTTGATACAAGAAAATTATAGACAAGCAATTAAAATCAATTCAAATACCTTGATTCCAATCAGGGTTTGCCGTTTTACATCGTCTTGTCATGAAAACAGGGAATAATCCATTGTCAACATAAAGTTCAACAGAGGTATCTTTCTTATCCAGATTGGCATTTTTGATATGAACAACCAATATGCCAGATTCTAGAAGTGTAATAAAACATAAGACAAATCATTTTTAAGAAAGCATAAATAGGCTTAAAATATTTATTTATCTTACCATAGTCAAGCACATTAATGTTTTCAACTCCATTTACTATGTCAGTTTCGCCTTTTTTCTCGTCCTTTTTTAAAAGGTTTTCTGAATCTTTTTCTGAATCTTTCACAGTGTCTTTTTCTGAATCTTTTTCAGGAGTTTTAACTTTTTTTGTTTGTAAGGTGGGATGGAAACTGGCTGAATAGAAAAGTAATCCCTTGGGCTCATTCGCAAAAATTAAATCTGAAGAACTATATTAAAAATAGGATTATTAAAGTGAAATACAGTTTCATGACGTTTATCTGAATTTTACTTTGAAGAGTATTAAGAGGTCATGTCATACTTACGCATCAAAAGGCTCAGTTGCTTGGTATGATCCTTCTTCATTCAGCTGAGCCAGTTTATCCACATAAAAATCAACTGAACCAAAGTCTCTGCTTTCATGACTTAATACTTGTAAAGCTACTGACTCTTTCAAGGAATGTACAGGTATATAATGAAGCTCGTGTTTCCATTCTGGATTTTGAGTATCTAGAACTACTTCTGTACGACCACGGTAAGTAGAGCTCAATCGAATTATTACATACGGATCGGATTTTCCTGTGTGGTCCATAATTTGAACATTATTAGCATTTTAATTGAGCTAGTTTATTAAATTGAGAAAGCCTTTGATGTACAATTACAACCTATCATCTGTAAGCGCTTCAGATCCTCAGCTTTTTTAATGTGAAGTCTGATCATTCCAATCGCATCCTCTAAAATAAAATATATGTATATTATTTAGAGCTAAATTTTATTATTGAAAAATGTTTAAAGAAATGTCATACCGTATCCGCCATGCTCAAGCTCATGATCAAACAATACTGGCTTCCATGTACAGCTTAATCTCAATTTACCAGCACTTGCATCAGTTACGTTAAACCAGTCGTTTTTCAATGCCAATATATCGATAAAGTCTTGTAACTTGCTGCTCCAACTACCAACAACCGGATCAGATGCAAGATCACGTGCATCTCTAACCTTGACAGACAACTCAGCAGCAGCTTTATTAGTGATGAACATTTCGAACGGTTCCTTTCAACAATAATAATATTAATATTAGTAAATATTAATCTTAATAAGTAATACATCTAATAAATATGCAAAAAAAGAAAGCATTTGATATATTATACGCACTTCCCAAACTGGATTATTATTTCTTTTGATGGTCCTTGTAGTATGAACAATCTTCCCGTTCAAGACTAATTCAGCATACGGATTATACTGTCCTACTAATGAATGTCTTGGATCAAGATCTTTAGCTTGATGAATTGTGAATCGCAAAACACCGATATCTACAAAAATTCGTTGAAAGTAAGTATCTTACTATATAAATATTCGTAAAAATCAAGACATACTGGATTCTGGGGCTGGGTCTGCCTCGGTAGCTTCTACTACTGGATACCATATAGCACCAATCTTGATTTCACCATGCGGTTTTCCTTCAACTAACACCGGTAATGTACTATAAACCAAAATTCAAATAAATGCGATTATCTTTGTGAAAACATAATAATAATGTAATAATAAGAATGATAATATACTACTCTTACACATCTTCCTGTTTTGGATTATCCAATAATGATGACAACATAAACTCGGCTTTGCCGAGTGGCTTGTCCCTAGACATTTCGTTGTAATCAAATATTTCAAAATGTAAACCTTCGTTCAAAGATGTTAATATCAGGTAATATGTTTCATCCCAAACAGGATTCAATGAGTCATCAATTGTTTTTGTCTTAGCGAGTACTTTATTTCCATGTAAAGTTACTTTAGCATAAGGATCAGAAGTACCAAACGTTTCCGCATTCTTTAATCCTTTTGCACACATGACTTTAAGTTTAAGTACTCCAAGAGCAGATTCTATTGAAATTTAGAACATAATAAGAATATAATAATAATACTATAAAAAAATCTAACGCAAAAAAAAAAAAAAATTCTAATACCGATAGGATATCCACCGATAATACTCTCAACGTCTAATGTGTATATATTTGGAGCGTACATCATGGGACGCAGTGTTGAATGAATTTGGTCTTGAATAAACGAATGTAACCCAGGAATCTAACAATATTGATAGCCACCTAAATATTTCTTATATCTAAGACATATTATAAATAAATTAACAGCCTTACATTGCTAATATCGAATCCGAGCATTTCGCCTCCAATTGGCTTCAAAACATAATCTATCTTTGGCTCTTCCAGGAAGCTTAAGTCAAGAGTTTTGATATGTGGGAATGTGTTTATTAACTTCATTTTAATTTGCATAATTCCAGCAAGTGACATATCCTCAAGCAATATAGGAATACCGGCGCCAACCACGCCCCTTCCTAATCGAACCGAAAGCACAATTTTTGGATTAACTTTGTTTTTCAATTGAGCCTTTGTCATATTTGCAAGGTCATTTGGATCAAAAGAAAGCTTCCAATCCATAACCTTAAAACAAAAATTACCAATAACAAAGCTTCAAATTAATTCTAATTGTAATCCACAGAGCAAGAAATTAACGATAATAGTTAATATGAGCACGACAGTAATTTACCACAATATCATCCTCAGTTTTTGGGTAAGACCTAATATATTCAATAGTGGCTGGTTTTGTACCTAATGTGAACGTTTTCAAGCGAACTGAATCCACGAAAGTGGGAGTTGCGGAAGCTAATATACCATCAGCAATGCCAACAATTGTTGATGATAATACAGGCTCATAAATGAGCCAAAAACGCCGTAAAAATTCGTTCATCCATCCAACTGATTCACCAGTCATCGTTTCAAGTTTTTCTCTGGCAAGTTCACGAGAAATGTCACTACGTGCATTGCGATAAAAACGTTTCATAGAATTCGCGTAGTACGTTGCTAAAAAATTAAAAATATCGAACAGAACGTTTATTAAAAAAAAAAAAAAATGAAAAAAATGAAAATTGAATTATAGATAATGGAATTAATCCTTACCAACAAAGGCACAGATTATAATAACCCAACCAAGCCCACCACCAAGAGAAGTAATTATCCATGTAGCAAATACCGAAATAAAAATTACAGATGCATTTAACCAAAGATTTCCATAATACAATTCGCTCAAATATTCGCCAAAAATATCATGATCAATGTCAGTTGGTCCAAATTCAGCGACATTTTTCCACCCTATACGCGCCCATTTTGGGGCTTCTGAGGTAGGCTTTGGTGCTTGAGGAAAATCGCATGGTAAAACTGACTCCTCCTCTTCCTTTTTATCTTTTTTATCTGAAACCTGGTCTAAAGTAGCGTCTGAAACGACCCCCTTGACAGCTGGCATTGCAGTTAAACCAGCATTAGAACTTCCCACAGCCTGCTTGGCTTTTAGTTCAGGAGGAGCATCAGGGTCAAATACATGTATTTGTGTTTTAACGTCCTTAAACTCGTGGTTTAATTCACTTTCAATTACATTGTTTATTCCTTCTCCAACTTCGGTTTTTTCTTGAGTAGGTTCTTGAGCCATTTGAAAAAAAAAAAATCAAATTTTTTTTTTTAATTTGAACTTACGATAAAATTAACGTTAAATATCAGATGCTAATACGTGGGAAACACATATTGATACGTGCTAATAATACATTATCATTATTTATCTTGGTATTAAAAAATCATGGATAAAAATTGGCAAACAGTTTAACGAATTAAGCAAAAATTATCGAACTTTAAAATATAAGAGGAAGGGACAGCGCCCAGCATGAAACACAGGATTCCAAGCGGGCGTTGTCAATATTAGAACGCCAATTTTAGAATATATACAAATTATGTAATTATATGTCATCTGTGCTGTACTTAAATGTTAACGTCGATATATAAATTTTGAAAGTGGCTTGATCGCAAAAAGAAAAAATTGAGCCAATTTTACCTAAATAGTATAAAGACCAAATATGTACATATCACCAGTATACGTAAAAAAAATTTTCGCTGTTAAATTAGGATAATCATACTAACAATTTTGCGAAGAAACGTTTTATTAGTGCTGCACAGAAGATAATTTCATAAATTTCGCTCTAACACGACTGCAATATCTGCTATACAAATTGTGAAATAAAAAATTGAATTTCTCATGTTCTATAAAAAAAATTATGAGCAAATTCAAGGCTCTATATGGAAAAGGCATGGATACTCGAAACTTAATACGTAGTGCACTTATATTTGCTGGTAAAACTGAACAAATCCCAAATCTCAAAAAACAATTGCCATTTATAAAAAATTAATCAAAAAAATTAATTTTTTTAATAAATGATAAGTGTCTGGCCACCAAAAAAATTTTTTGTTACGAAACAATTGGGGACAACGATTGGACAATTCAAAAAAATAACACTTTTGGCAACTGTGTTTAACATGTACGTACGCACATTTTTATGCTTAAGTGATCAAGGAATACGGTTAATAGTTTTTTTTCGGGTATTTATTTACAATTTGTGTTGGTTACAGCAAGATTGATTAAAAAAGAAAGATTATTTAATAATGAGTATTAACATTTTCGGTGCTTTTTAATAACGATAACAATCATTGTGTAATACAGTGTTGTCACGTCTACTATATTCAAGACTTTTTTAGATCATGTCCAACGTTCAAGCGTCCACATGTTCAAGAATATCACAGCATATTCAAGTTTCAAAAAAAATCTATAAATATTTTTATTTATAAAGTTAAATTAGGTTGACTTAATTTATTTGCCCAGAATGTCCAAAAGTGTTCAAGCTCATGTTAACAACTAGGGTTGGTAAAGTTAGCTTAGGTTCGGTTTTGGTTCCAGAACCTATAGGTTTCAATTTAAAAATCTGGTTTTTAGATTCTTGTTGAGTTTAAAAACTTAGTTCAAAACCTGATTTTAGTTAATCAAATTTATATATTATTTATTATATAAAAAGTAATTTTTTTTACTAAATTAATTTTAAGTTTTTAAGCAAAGTTATAAAGAAAATTTATAATATATAAGGTGAGTATGGGTATTATAACGCAGAACCAATTATGACGCACACGTGATATCTCGTGATCCAGTGATCAGAAACAGATGATTTTACTACCATTAATTTCGTCTCGTCGAGGCGAATCGAATGGTGGTAAAATCATCCGATTCTGATCACTGGATCACGAGATACCATTATTTAAATAAAATTAACAAATTTTTATTTATAAATTTTAATACGTAAGAAACAATCGCACGTAATACATTAACAGTCAGCCGTGATGTCGTGCAGATCATTTTTAATATGGTGTCAAATGATTGACGCACCTAAATTTTATATGTAAAA